TATAATAGTAGTATAGTTTAGAAGAAAATGTGCATGTATAGGGATGCATACTCAAAATGTTTAAACTACTTTCATGCATAATTTTTAAAGTTTGGAGACTAGTGGGCTCAGGACTGCTATTAATCCTTCAAATATCAGAAAGAACTCTCAGAGATTCCATGTGGTAGGCAGACTCATGCCCATCCCTAAGATGTCTAAGTTTTGTTCTCCAAATCTTGCGAATATATCTTTCATGATAAAGAGACTCTGCAGAAGTGATAAAGGATATGGACCTTGAGATGGGGAAATTATCTTGGGTTATCTGGGTGGGCCCCGTCTAATCACTTGAGTTCTCCTAGGTGGAGAACTTCCCTTGGCTGCAGAGAGAGAGAGATGTGCCAATTGAAAAGGGTAAGACAGGGTTATGTGAGAAGTATGCATCTCACCATTGCTAGTCTTGCAGATGAAGGCAGAGGCCATGAGCCAAGGAAAGCAGGCAGTCCCTAGAAGCTAGGAAAGGCAATGTAAAGGATTCGCTCCTAGAAAGTGATTTTAGCCCAGTGAGACCTCTTACCTGCAGAACTGCAAGATAATAAATTTGTGTTATTTTAAGCCACTAAATTTGTGGTAATTTGTTACAGTAATAGTAGGAAACATGCATCACATCTGCCCTAACAATTTATGAATGCTGGAATATTAGGACAGATCTAAGAACTACATCAAATGGAGTTAAGTGATAATCATTTTAAACATTTTTCATCAACAGCTTGGTTTACATCACTACAGGAACAAATAGCAGTGAAGTGTGACATGGTAAGTTGATGAAATATTATTTGCATAAATCAAAATATACTCGACCAATCTCCTTGGTCAGAAAGAGGTGAGACTTTTCGGATATGATCTTTGCCATTGTTGGAACATTTTCTGCAGTGCAACCAAATATCAGAAGAGAGTAAAAAAGCTGACCTTGGAATAAGTTGCATTTTCCCCAAATCTAACACAGTTAGAGGGTATTAAAACTCATTCCTCAATATTTGAACTTCAGAAGGTAAAATTTCCAGGAATGACAGTATCATGCTGGAAACATTAATGTGCCAGCAAGAAATAATATCATTCTGTAGGAGGTAATAAAGGCATGAATTATGTCAAATTGTATTTGGTTCATGGATGTTACTGTGCTTCTTATGGGCAGATACAGCTAACAGGCACAAGAACACCTGCCTGTCTCCCTCAGAAAATTACAGTCGTGTGCACAAATATCAGTGTAAGAAATTAGGGGACCATTTGTGGCAAAATGAAAATGTGCCATGTTATAGATATACCTCCTAAGGATATGGAATGTCTTGTTATAGCAGAACATAATTTTTCTCTTGGTCTTTCTCAGAGTAGAAAGAACCATTAATCCATTTACATTACAAGTGGTGGCTTCTACTTCAGTTAAGTAATATAATTTGCTAAATGAACTTGCTGCTATGCTACATAGTGCTCCATTATGGATTCTAGCCATTAATTGGTTTGAGGTCATTGGCCATCTCCGTTAATGTGAGGAATCTATTCTTCTTTAAGTAAAATGTTCAATAGCATCTCCTATTGAAATGGGCCAGAGTCAAACAATATGCATCATTATGCATGTGCCAATATACATATGTATTGGTTTCCCCACATTTATTTATTTGGGGTAAGAAAACAAAGTCCATTTTGTAAGTTTAAAGAAAGTATTTACAAGTGTCATTGTGTACAAAGTTGTTTAAAAGTCTGAGGAAAATGTGAAACTCCATAAGCCTCATTGTGATTTAACCCTTTCAGAGCTACAGCACGAAGCGGGAAGAACTGCCTTTCTCTCCTCTGCCCCGTCTGCAGATGCAGAGATGGCACTGCAAACAGAACCATCACTTCTGCTACAACCTGGGTAATAATGTGCTCAGTTAATCTCTACAACATATAGTCATCCTCTCAAAAAGTAATTCACTTCTTTAAAAACTGGAAGGAAAATAAATATGGTGCAGTAAAATTGTTGAGTAGAGGAATCTATCTGGACATTTCACAAAACATTTCATTATGCTGACAATTCCCAGAAGTACTCTCAAGAGTGCTTTAAGCTGAGGATTACTGCGCTGGAGCTGATGGACTTTTTTTGTAGCCCCTTTAAAAGGCAGTGAACCGTTTTTCTATTTTATTTAAATAATGCCCCTTAAAATGGATTTTTAGAGGTATAATAACTCCTTAAGAGTCAGTTATGCTAAACAGTTTCTCTTGATAGAAATGTTGTAAAACTCGTTAACTGCACAATTTCAGATGCCGGCTTGGTGAACACTAACTGACATGTGAATGACCAGAGTTTGTAAAATAAATTGCAATAGTTGTTGTATCACACGGCTAGCATTGCACGAGCTGGAGGCCACAAGGGGCTCCAACCTGACAGAAAATTACTTCAAGATGAATGAAAAGTGCTTGTTTCTCTTTATTAGTTTTTAGAGAACAATGAAAATGTTGAATTGTTTACAGAGGGCTGATTAAATATGGTCAGTGGGGCCATGTCCCTACTGCTAACTATTGGCCTCCCCCTCCCACTGGCCCTCAACCTACGCACTCACAAGCCACATGGATCTAAGCACCCAGCCCCCACCCCTTGCTCACTGCCACATGCATCTTCTTATAGGCTATTATGGCTGCACATCTGTGTGTGAAATGTGCTCATTCTGACATTCCACTGCTGCTTGGCGCTGCAGAGGCCTTTGTTAGGTAAAACACTGTTGTCAAGCCTAACAAGCAGGTCATGCAATTTGCTGGACACTGCACCAGAGAATAGCCCAGGATGAATTGCTTTGGCCCCAAACAATGCTTGGTTCTATATTGGAATACATATGTATTTCTTTCATTGTACAGCACTACAAAAAGTCATGACATTTTGTTTTCGTAAGGAGTGGATTTAAAAAAATGTTGCTAGGGTTAGACTACCACAAAATAGCCCATTTGTTGTATTTACTTAGGATAACTACTGCCTTGTGGCTGAAGGAAAGAGGCATGAAGTGCTTTAATTGGTCATTTGTGGTCTAAATCCCATTTATGTTTTACCAGAAAGTACAGTGAGAGGGAGGAAGGGCACTAGCTACCATTTTAGCTGTTTGGTTTACTTAAAGGGGTGGTCAAAGCCAGGGCATTTAGGAGGATGTTGTGGAGAGCGATTCTCACTTTAAGTTTCCACAAAGTAAACAGACCTTGATGGAAAGAAATATGAGAACTCATTAATAAGCATATGCCAAGCAGGAAGAAAACAGTCTTTTAACCAGACCAAGCTAAATTAATCAAATCCAGAAGATGCTTTGGTAAACTAAAAAATTAAGGAAAAGCAAATCACTGCCATTTCAGTTCAACACACAGTGTTCCATGGCCCCTCCCCTTCCTTGCTTCCAGCCTCTCCCTTACACACACGTGCATGCACACATGCACAACAGGACCTCAGCAGTAATCGGGAGCAGTTCAGATGCTATTTGTGGCATTCTGACACAATACAGAGCACACACCCCTAATGTGCGAGCAGGATTCTCTCCCCCTCTGTGCAGAACATGCATTCTGAGCCTATTATGTGTATAAACAATGGCATATGTAATTACCTTTCTAGGGTGGCAATTATTCCTCAGAATCAACAACCAGAGTTAAAGCATGTTCCCCAAAAGACATTCGGGGATCAATTCTGGGTCAATTACGTTAGGCTTTGATTTATCACATGGTGTCAGGCCATGTGAAAAACAGAAAGTTAAAAAAAAAAACAACCCTGAAACCTTATGAGGTAAAGGCTAAAGGTTTGACTCAAACTGGTTTGTTCCCAACTTTGCTTTATCTCAGTTGCTCTGCCTTCCCCCATTTTTAAAACAATTGTGATTTGCTGGCTTTTTTCTGTTAGACAGTTTGCTGTTTGGGAATACTAAATGCAATGAACCTGGACTACATCCAGACTGGATCTGCACCCACCCCCCAACCACCACCAGGCCATGAAAATTCCTCCTGGGATGTGGCAGAATGTAGGGGTTAGTAGTTCAGGCTTTGGGATCGAAGGGATCTGGATTTAGACCCCCATGATTTAAGCAAGATACATATCATTGTAGTGGATAATACTTACTTTGAGCAGTTGTTGTGAGGTTTAAGTGAGATAATTAATGAAAGGGTGTGTGTGAAGCACTTAGCTCAGTGTCTGGACAATCATGAGCACTCAGTGAATAGAGTGATTGCTCTTCCATTGATCAGCAAGCCAGAAGAGAAGTGGGACAGCCCCTCCAAAGGCCCTGCCCCTGTGTAGAGTGGGACCAGGGCCCAGGGAAACAGAGTGGATGCTGGTACAAATCACAGGGCTGAACTGGTGAGTCCAAAACATCAGTTAAGATCCCCAGTGTAGAGGACAAGACTATATATGAAGACTCCAGTTGATATGAACTCACTCTAAGTAGACTGATTGCAAACTACAAACCAATAAGATGCTACTCTATTAGCAAGGCCCTTCTTTTAAGAGCCTTAAGAATCGTAGATGAAAAAAGCTATTTTGCACACCTTGATCACCAAGTATTTACTGAACACATACCTACTATGCACCAGGCATTGTGCTAGGCACCAGGACTATAGAGATGGTCCCTCCAAAAGAAATCTCCCAGAACAGAAAATAAATATCTACATCTTAGTTCAATACAGACTCATAACTCAGATGTCCTGAAAGCTACTTCATGCAAACTGAAAGTGACATGACAAACATACAATATCACCATCAGGAGTTTGGGGGCTGGACAATTTGTCTTACTAAAGATGAATCATATTACTAAAGTTATTGGTCAAATTAGAGTAATTCCTTACTGAAAAGCAAAATAAAACTTTTTAGAAATTAAATAAAAAGGGATGATATGAGAATTCTCATCAAATTCTTTAGGGAGGAATTCAATATCCCACTGAAAGAACACTTTAAATCCATTTTATATGGAGCAACATTATTTATTCAATAAGAGAGAAACAGCATTTACACAATTCATTTCTCAGAAGAGATGCAGTACTATTGGCAGTATGTATTGGCAGCTTAATTAAGAAGTCTGTTGTTAATGTTAAAAAGCTGGCACATTTTCAATTCAGATGGACACTGCTCAACACAAGGACGTGTCAATTGTTGCCTGATACATACTGAAATGTGTCACAGACACTGCATAAAATGTCTAGTGTCCACAACTATATTAGTGCCTTGACACCGGAAAAATCATGACCTACTCCCAGATCAGAAATCATTTTTTAGAAAAACTGTATAGTTACTCAACTTATAGAACATAAAAGATAACACCATGAATACTGAAATAGCCAAATTTTCATAGAGACATTTTCCAAGTCTGTTTGGCTCCTTCCCTGCCCTATCTTGGATCCATGAGTAAGGATTCCCAAGTTTGATCTAAACCTTCCTCTTCTCCACGCTAATAATTCACTCAAAGCAGCAGACCCCTAAAGCATAGAAAGCAGAGAGGCCTATCAAGACAACAGATGTAATTCACCTCCCCCTTTCCAAGAAATGCACAGACGCAATACAGTTTTCCAACAGACAATCTATAGCTAATGGGGGTTAAAATTAAATTCAAATTGACTCCAACTATAATGTGTTACTATCTCTAAAGTCTACCAAATATTTGGCAAATCAACAAAAAGGATCCTACCTATCAGAATTCCATAAATAAATGGAATGAAGATGTCCTGAATTGTTCACATTAAGAGTTTTTGTTTTATTTTGTGATTTATTAAGGGAATTTAAAATACTTATAGAATATACCTTTCTATTTGTTTCCTGTCTTGGAGACACAATTAACAGAAGAAGATAAAAAATATGCATTGAAACTAATTTTTAATACACTGGAGGCAGGGACCACATCTTATTTGTCTCCCTCATTTTCCTTCCTCTATTTTGTACAGTGATTCACACATAGTAAGTACTCAATTAAGTTGAAGAGTCAATGCATGTTTCAATACAAATTAATCTGGAAGGGTTGCACTGATTTAAGGAGCAGCTGGATGAAATGGATAGGTTTAATCTTTCCTGATTTCTGGCTGGTGAGGCACACTGTCTTGTAACTTCATTTGCTGAAGCTTGCTTGCATAACACCCGCACCATTAACTTCTGGCAACTGTGGCAATCTTAGCGTCTTGATTTGTTTCCAGTTTTGCTGAAGGGAGCAAGATGGTTCTCCAATAGTTGTTTTTCCAATAAGAAAATGTGTATGGTGACTTGAAGCAGGTACTCATTGAAGCAGGTATTCAGCCTACCCCTGTCCTACAGACAGTACATCTGCAAACAAAATTGAAACAAATTATTAACCCAAGCCTAAGAACAACTTCTCAGTACAATGATTGAGCTTTTGCTGATTACTAAAATTATTTAGCTCAATAGTTTAAAAATACAGTAAGAATATAGACTCTTTTGTGGTGATAATGCTGTTTAAAGTTTTCTAACCATATCTTAAATTAGTGACTTTGAAATCCATGCTACCTGCAGGCACAGATTCCAGGGTAACAGAATCAGAAACACCACATATTTGTGCATTTTGAAAAACAAGTTTTCCCTACCAAAGTAAGGATTCTGTATTTTCTTTCCTTCCTTTGATAAACAGGAATAAAACCCACCCTGAGATCCCAGGCTCTACCCCTTCGTGAATGAAGTCCCTGCCTGTGCCCCATTATCTACCATCACAGTGGCTGGCTGGGCAACGGCTGCAGATAGAGAAGCCTGTTGGGAAGCAATCTGGACAGGCAGGAGCACACTTTCTTCAGCAAAGGCTCTGAGCCGATCAGATGGGTAGAAGAGGCATGTACACACACTTCAAACATCAACTGCAATAGCAATTCCCCACCCTCATGGGGTCAGGGAGGTCCCACCTTAGGCTTTTCAGTCATATCTATGCCCATGTATATTAGTAACACTATCTGATACCCGGAAAGACAGACATCTTTCCAAGAAACCTTTCTATTCATTTACATGCTCACAGGCTACTGTCTTTCTGAAATGTTCCATTGCAGACCCAGTGCAGTGAGATATACAGGCAACAAATACACAAGTGAGTTTAGCCCTCACACACTGAATTTACTTATGAATATACTTTATTTATTTGGGTTTTTAAAATAGGCCAAAAGCAATTGTATATGTGTTTCAATGCCCTTTAATTCATGAGCAAAATGTCATACTACAAGAACATTTAAAATCCAGGTGGAATCACTTTAGGTTTTTCCTTCTCTACCCATTATATCAAACTTGTCACTAAAGCCTATTACTTCTTAATTTGAAAATGTTTTTCCCAGTCCCCTTCTCTTCTGAGTTTCTACTAAATCCTCCCCCCTTTGTTAGACCCTGTACTCATCCAGGAATGAGACAGCCTCCTAGCTCTGGCTAGGCCTCCTCCGCTGTATTCTCAACTCCTTCGAAGTGATGCTGCTTCCACCAGGACTCCACTTCTGCTATTCGTTTCAGGATCCCTCTAAGTGGGGGCCCCTGAAGTCTCCAGTTAAGAGGTTCAAAGTAGCAGTGACCTTCAGCCCACCCTCCATCAGTAAGGCAAAAGAGGAGCAACCTCAGCCCACCAGATAGCATGACTGGAATTTCTCTTTTGGCTACAAATACACTGCATTTGCTCCACACTTCTTCACTATCATTTCTCCCTCTATTTCCCTACTAACTCCAAATACACTGGCCCAATCTTCAGAACTGGCTTCTGCCCTGACTAGATTTCCCATTTCCTACAATGCCCTGTGCCTTGCCCCAAACCTAAATCTACTTGACTGGAGGCCTGATCAGCCCCACCCCAGATTCCATTCAGGACTCCAGCTGCTGCCTGGGACCAGCTGTGATCAGATTGTCCACTGCCATGACACCACCATTCCTGACTCTGAATCTCTCCTGCTATCTACATTCTAGTATCGCAAACCTCCTGCTGAATTGCCTCTCCTCGGATCCAGTGCTTTCCCTGAACTAGTCTCAATATCACCACTTCCTCTTGGTCCCTGAGGACTGAATTGCTGGCTAACCCTAGTGCCACCAGGCTCTCAGTCCCTCACACACCTAGTCTTGACTGCCTCCTGTTCCCTGGTAACTTATATTGCTGAGATCCTACATAGGAACCTCTTCCCAAATCAGACAAATTCTAATGCTACAATGTGTTTACAATATCTATCTCTTACTTATTCATTCATCAGTCATTTATTAATATATATTTATTCATTCCATTAAAAAATAGAGAGATTAACATTAACTTCGTTTTTTAAAATATCCTACATGATTACCTATAGTCTGACCCCTGCCTGATTTTTGAGGCATTCCATTTCATTTCCTAATCTCCAACATGAAGTCTCTGCTTCCGATACAAAGATATACTACCCTCTTGGCTCATTCTGTATCTTTGTTCATTCTCTTTATTCTACCTTGATTAGCTCTGACTTTTTAATCAACTTATTTGTGACATGATCTAAGTAATATTCTCCAAGAAACAAATCCACACTGACTTATACCTTATTGAGATTCCTCTGGAATAATCAATATCCTACAGTTTAAGTACTTGGTTTTCACTAATTGTTTTCATATACATTAGCTCTGCAGGCAGACTGCTTGTTCTATGAGAACTGGGAGAAGAGTCATGTCCCGTGCATGCTATGGTGCCTCCAAAGTACTTGATACTGACTTCTACTGGGACAGCAAAGTTCCACTTCCACCTTCTCTCTACCCTTACTTCACTCTCCAGCCCTAGCCCCACGGAAGTGGCTAAATCAACTTATGGGATTTAACTAAACCTTTAGAAAAGGATAAAACTTTTGGTGTAACAAGAGAAAAGGTTAAAGTTTTAGATTCTGTAGGCTGTGGTCTGTTTGAAGTTTGTCTCTGGGGGTTCACTCTTTGGATTGCTTCTCTATACTTATCTGAAGCCAGTGAGGCAAAACAGGTCTGGAACTGCCTCCTACTTGGGAGATGCTCCCCAATACAAGCCCCCTAGATAAAGTCTAGGGCAAACTAATTAGACTAGCTCTAACTTAAATCTTTATCTTTCTTTTTGGCTCTTCTCCTACCTCATCTAGCTAAATAGGATCTAAAGAGCTGGACCCCAGAAAAGGGGACCAAGGAGGCCTATCTTTCTAAGACACAGTATATCCAAGAAGCTCTACATGGATAAATGAGCTCATCAGGTTCACAGGCAGGGGAGGGGAACCCCAGGTAATAAATAAGATTATATGTGTTTGTACTTGAGGTCTATCTGGTGCTTATCTCTTTCAAGTACCTGTAGCTCAAGGAGATACCTGGGTAACAATCTGTGGGTTCATCTCAACATAACTACTATCTAAGTATATTCTCAATAAATACTTGTGAATTGGTTTTTCTACAGTAAATGTCTAAATATTATTAGAATAGACCAAAAATTTTAGGAAACTTTGAAGCTCTGGGTGAAAGTTGTTTATGATTTATGTATTGAATATATGCCTCGCTGAAACTTTAGAGTAGTTTTATTCCTACAATGCCATTTTTCTAAGAATACATCTCTTACAACATAGATCTTTGCAGAATAAGGATGTAATAAGACAAATCCTGGGCATTTCTGCAAGTCTTCCTGCCAAATATTAAAGCCAGTAGGCTTCTTCCATGGTGACATTTTGAATTAGCACTTGGTTATGATCAGAATCCACTGTAGAATCATGTAATAATTATATCTCACATATTTTGAATATTTAAATATACCATATACACACTATATACCTATGTACATAACCTTGATGTACTACTTGAAAAAAAATAAATAATGAATGTAGGCATAACCCAAAGTCATAAGATCATTTGTCACTTTTCCAAGTCTGTGGCTGAAACTTCACTTTGAAACAATGCTCTTAATTAGCATGTGATTCAGAGACTGCCAATTGTCACCTCTCCCCTTTTCTTTTATTAATAGAACCCCCAAATTTTGAGAGGCACATGGCCACAAAGATCCCACTAAAAAGGCCACTATATTTTCAGGCCTTCCTGGCAGCTGGTATGACTAGCAGGATGTGAGTAGAAGTTAGGAGTCCAACATTTAGGGAAATCCTTTAAAGAGAATGTGTATCTTCAGACAAGTGAATTAAGCCAATCCCTGGGGACAGCAGAGAGTTGTGAGATGGAAGTTTCTTCCTCCTTTACCCAACAGTTTAAGCATACACAGTCCAGAACTGATAAGACAGCTCCACTTCATTAGGGTACTACCTCCAGTGTGTTTAAACCACTGTATGTTAGATTCCCAAACATAGATTTAGGTTAGGCTGCTGTAACTAATAGAGCACTATAATTTCTAGCTCTTACTAGCTACCCAAACTTGGAAAAATTATTTAAACTGTTTGAATTTGTTTCTCTGTTTATACCTACTTCAAGTTGTTGTTAGCAACATAAGACTGTTTTTTTAATTTTTTTGCTTCCCATTATATCCCCAGCTTTAGCACAGAATCTGCATATAGCAAGCATTCTATAAAAATTAGTTATTATTGCTGTTCGGGTTGATATGCAAATTTAGGCAAATAATACCATACTTTAACTAAACATTAGGTGCTTCCAAAAAAACCTGAAGTAACACAACTAATTAACATGGTGTGCACTGGAGTGGTAATATTTTCTGACCCAAATCTTAGAAAATATTGTCTAGCAAAAGGCTTTTTCTGACTTTTGTATTTATTTATATAAAAATTCTTATATTATAAACTATTGGTTGTCAATTTAAAGAACTGACTTCTTAAAATTATCTGCTTAAATTGCGCAGCTCTGGACAGTTAAAGGCAGATGCTCCAGTAGTGTTAGTTCTAAGCACTCTAGTTTTTATCTTGAGGTTCCATTGTGCATTCACACAATGCAAAAACAAAGACAAAAAAACACCTGATTTTTTACAACATGTTAATGGCTGTGAATTTGTATTGTAATAGTTCAAAATCTCATAAAAATAATTTTATGTCTTCTCAAAGGAAGATGAGTACTCTTGCTTCTACAAAAATACCGTGGATGACAGTTTTCAGTAAAACACATTTCTCCTATTGAAGGGTACTTAATAAACACACACACACCTGACTGCTTTCATTTTGCCACAAGTGGCACCAATTTACCAGTCATCAAAGTAATACAGTCTGATCTATTGAGGTGATGGATTCTGACAAACTGTGTGAGCCTGTCATTAAGGGGAGGATATATCATAGTCTCTATGCAGGACATCACAGTGCTTACCCATACAGCTTATGAAACATAGGGGAAAGCAACAAGATGAAAATAAAGTTGAACATGGACTTATTATTTCTCTC